TTACAACTTATTCGGTCAGCTATACATGATTATTTGGTAATGGCTTAATGATATCGAAAGTGACTTATGAGCCTGTTTGTTAGCAGCTTAATGAGCTTAATAAGACTCGCAACTTATTCGGTCGTCTATACATGACTGTTGTTAGTGACTTAATGATATAAAAAATGGCTTATTCAGTAAGATTCTAGAGGAAGCTTTATGCAAAAAGCGTAGTTTTTTTTCCAAACGTGTCTCTCCTAATTAAAAAACACGTTTCTTCCATCTATGAAAAACCCTCCCAAACAAAAATTTCCCCATCTTTACAAACAAATTAATCCACACAAACAGCTTTATCCATACAGGACTTAACGGAAAACCAACCAAACAGCCCATTAGAATCATGGTGGAACTTGATAATATTCTGTTTTTAACTACTTAATAAGAGACTCCCAACTCTGATTCATAATCATGTAGAACGAGTTGTCACATATATATGAGAATTCAGAACAAGTCATTTATGAGAATTCTACAAACCCCCCAACAGATTATCCGAGAGCCTTGAATTATAAATGTAAATTTGAATACGTGTTTACGAGGCAAAATAGCGGAAATACCTGAACATTTCTCATCTTCTGTCTTTGCAATTGCTCGGCCAGAATGAGATTTCTGAAAAATGAGAGTATTTTTTAGATAAAGGTAGTACGTTATTCCAAGCCCGTTTCTAGTAAGCATAAAAAGCCCGGGCTGGGCTTTAGGTGCAAATAGAGATAGCTAAAAATCAGTCCCGGTCCCAATTTGCCTTTCTGTATAACCAGTCGCCACCAAAATACCAAGGCTATTTCCAAGCTCTGTAACCAGTCCCAGGCCAGGCCCAAATCGGTCCCAAAATCAATTTTTAACGTAAAAAAATATTGGTTGAATAATTTCTCTTTTTTTTGGCAATATCTTATTGAAATTCACTTTAAAATCCCTAATCGGGTCATTTTCAAATACACTTTAAAAATATTCTTTTACATATTTTTTTTTTAAATGTATAGATGTTTTTATGGTTACGATTTTTGAGATTTAGTTTTGGAACACTTACAAAAACGTCAAAAAGAACTTGAAAAACTAAAAAAAAAACTTCGAAGTTTTTGGTAAAAGAACTTGTAGAAATATTGAAAAACTTGATATATAATTTATAAGAACTTAATTTTTTTTAATCGGGCCTATGTATAACCGGTCCAGGGGCGGGACGTGAAATTTCTTAAAAATCGTAACATTAAGGACCGTCGGCCGGTCCCGGTCCTCCGCCGATCCCAGGACGGGCCCGTTTGGCCATCTCTAGCAATGCAAAAATGGAATCATTGGGCTTTTCAGACCAGGCTTTTTAGGGATTTAACCACACCTTGAAAAAAATACTTGACCTAATCGGGCTTTTTGACCTGACCTAGGCTCGGGACTACTAGAAACGGGCTTTTTAGGCCGGGCTTGGACCAAACTTTGGGCCATGGCATTTTTGCGCATCTAGTTGCAGCACAAGAAGATTAAATTGGCTACCATACCTTTGTTGTAATTGGATCACCTGAGACTGTAGTTCTCTCTCCCTTGGTGAAATCAGAGGAATCTGCATTGGTGAAACTCAACATTAATTTAATTATTTTATGACAAAAATACCCTTTCCTTATTTTCTCGTTCAAGAACACAAATAGAAAACTTCCTTTTTGTCCTTTCCGTTCTTTTTCCTCTCTTTCCCTTCTTTTCTTTTCTTCTCAAATTCGAGAACAGGGTGTTAAAGGTCAAATGTTACAAGATTAAAACATGTAGCGGATATTTAATGAATTTATTAATAGATAAGGGCCACATTACCGGTGATGATCCATTAGTTCCCGCCTCCACATACTCCATGGGGTTGCCTGCATACAGTTATAAGAATCCCATTCATGTCATTGTGCAAACAAATATATACACACACACATATACATACATATATACAGGGGCAGGTTCCATTAGGAACCTCATTTTCATTGAGAATCGGGGAACCATAGAGAGCATGCCATGAATCCATATTCATGATGGGACATTCATCATGTATATTGTAACATTCATGATGAATGTTGTAAAAAATTCGCGTCCGTATTCATGTCCATTCATGATGAATATGGATATGTGGCACATTCTTGTTGGTTCCCCAGTTCTTGATGAAAATAAGATTCCAAATGGAACCTCCCTCTATACACAGACACACACACATATATATGTATTCATGATGGAGAACTGAGGAATACCAGAACTCTGCTCCACAAGCTTGATTAATCTATACAATTCTTCCTGAACACACACAAAAGTAGCAAATTTGTTGTTCATCAGAAAGAGAATTTGGATGTTAGATGGAATCAAGATGAGCGGGCACATACCCTTTGCAAGGTGTTATGGTGCAAAATGCTTTGCAAAGATGGAAGAAGTGAAGCCGCGATACTTGATGCCCGTGGACTGATAGTTTCACTGAAACTTGAATTAACGACGGGAGCCTAAAGGAGAAAAGACGGCACACAGTTTTAGAAATATGTAATTATTACACTTTTTTACTTGACTAAATGACAATTTTACCTTTAATAACAGAGAGAGTAATGAATGGCTGTTTCATGATTAAGGGTAGAATTGGGAGGTAGGCCAATAAAAGTATGGAAGGTTTTAGGGTTTTAATTTGACAGGGGGTAATTTAGTACTGTACCAATTTTGTCCTATCTCCGTATTTTTGTTCCACCCATTTTGGCGGGACAAAAAACGCATTTTTGACCCACTCAATCCTGTCATGTCCCATTTTAAATGTCGCACCAAATGTGGGACAACAAGTTTTTATTTTGTCTTGTCCCGTTCTATCCCACATACAAACAGGGGTAAATAAGTAATTTCATACCTTGAGACTGAGATCAGCTGAAGTGACTTTAAAACGTCCCTTCTGCTGCACCACCGCTTCCTCTGGTACATCGTCTGTAACACCAAATCTCACAATTAATAACCAAATATGTGAAGATAACGAAGAAAAAAAATACCCCCTTCGTCCCAAAATAAATACCCACAATGCAAAAGGCATACAGTTTTAAAAATGTGTAACTATTACACTATTTAACTAAGCAAATGACAATTTTACCCTTGATAATGGAGAGAGTAATGAATTTCTCCATCTCATGATTAAGGGTAGAATTGGAAAGTAGACACTTACTTCTGAAAATGACACTTATTTCTGGACAAACCAGAATAGAAATGTGGACATATATTTTGGGATAGATGGAATAATCCCGTTGAAATAACAAATACAAGGTGAATAAGAAGAATGGCTTACTGGAAGAAGAGTTGATTGTGCTATTCTTTTGACGACCTTGTAACGGACCACTATAACTGCGCTCAACTCGGAATCCCAAATGTGTATATTCTCTTCATATTATTGAAAACAAATAACTTAATATCTGAAAACTTGTCGAAAAAATGTAGCAAATGCGGACCCCACAAGAAATTATAAATGTATTTACCATGAATATAGTCGATTGTACATAAATACTCCCTCTGCCCGAAAATTAGTGTTCACAATAGAGATGACACACGGTTTTAATTATTACAGTTTTTAGTTAACCAAATGAGAACTTTATTCTTAATTAATTTATCTATCCTATCGACTATTAAATATTTATGCACTAATTAAGGGTAGAATTGGAAATTTAGTAATTTATTTTTGAAAGTTGACACTTATTTGGGTCAAACATAAACAGAAATGTAGACACTTATTTCATGTCATTGTTAGAGGGTATTATAGACAATTGAATTAATTTTCAAACACTTCTACTCCCTCCATTCCAAAATAAATATCCACAATAAAAAAAGACATACAGTTTTAGAAATTTGAAATCATCACTTTTTAATTAACTAAATGACAATTTTACCCTCAATGACACAGGGAGTAATGAATTTCTCCATCTCGTAGTTAAGGGTAGAACTTGAAAATAGACAGTTACTTTTGAAAGTGGATACTTTATTTTGAAACAAACTAAAATAGGACGGAGAGAGTATTAGACTATAATGTTATGTCAATCATCGCAATTGTCAAGGGACAGGAGTACTTAATTGAATAATTGGCTGAAATGGCGGATTAATTGGTTGAAATTGGATCAAAAATACTAAATGGATCCAATGGATAATCGATAGTAATATCCAATGAATGGAACCGATCCGATCCAATCATCCATTGGATTGGACTGGACCGGTTTTCCAATGTCAGTTGGATTGGACTCGGATGGCAAAATCCAACATCCAATAGATGATTGAATCGAACAGATCCACCTAAATCCATCGCATTTCAACAGATGAACACCCATAACAGTTACCTGTCAAAGTCGCCAGCTAACTTCTTGGATGAAAGCACGTTATCCGGTAGCAGTGAGCCACTCGAATATTTTTTTGTACCCATAATAATAGGCAGTGGTAACGATTTTCTCTTTTCTAGATGCTCGGCCTCATTTTGTTCAACTCTTTCTTCAGCTTTCAGTGACGGTTTCATGGCACCGTGCTGTTCATTATCCGATTGATTTTCGTCTCCGGCAGTAGGGTTAACAGTGACCTCATCATCGTCACCGACATCAAAACACCCCCTGCATTGAAATAGAATTTCGCATGAGATGATAAGAAACAAAACCATCATCGGGTTCTTCTCATTCACAAGTAAAAATGTGAAGATCTTCCACCGCAACACACACGTAAATTATGCAATGACCACAATTTATAACCAATTACTCCCTCTGTCCCAAAATAAATGTCCACAATGAAAAAGGCACACGGTTTTAGAAATCTATAATTATTACACTTTTTTATTAGCTAAAGAGCAAATTACATTTTTCGTCCTTGTGGTTTGTTAAAAATTGCGATTTTCGTCCATGTGGTTTAGAAATTGCAGTTTTCATCCTTATGGTTTGTAATTTTTTGCTATTTTTGTCCTTATGATTTACAATTTATTGTCTGTTTCGGTCCTTGTGGTTTGCAACTCTTTACTTTTTTGGTCCCTTGTACTTAAAAGGTAGAAAATAGTCTAGGGACGAAAATTGCAAACCATAGGTATGAAAATTGCAGTTTCTAAACGACAGGGATGAAAATCGAAATTATTAACAAACCACAGGTACGAAGATTGTAATTTGCTCTTAACTAAATGACAATTTTATCCTTAATAATAGAGGGAATAAAGAATATCTGCATCACATAATTAAGGGTAGAATTGGAAAGTGGACACTTATCTTTGAAAGTGGAAACTTATCTTGGGACAAACTAACATAGAAATATGGACACTTATTTTGGGACGGAGGAAGTACTGGTTTCTCCAGGCATTTCTGAGAACATGACCTCTGAGAAGAGTTTTTGGAGCCGCAAGATTAGGGTAGCAGACTAGGGGTCGGGATCCGTAACTAGCCCAGACGGAATAAAGAATCGGGAGAGATAGAGGATGGGGGTAGGGTTAGTGAGCCGACCGATAGACTTCCTGAATCCTAAGTTAGGGGGTTTGGTTGGTTTTCCATTAAGTCATGTATGGATAAAACTGTCTGTGTGGATTAATCTGTATGTATAGATTGGGAATGTTTTTGTTTGGGAGGGGGTTTCTATAGATGAAAGGAGCGTGTTTTTTAATTGGGAGGGGATAGTTTGAAAAAAAAATCTTGGCTTTCTCCATAAAGTTCTCCCTAAAAGCTTACTGACTAAGCCACTTTCAATATCATTAAGCCACTAGCAAACAAACCGAATAAGTTGCGAGTCTCATTAAGCTCATTAAGCTGCTAACAAATAGGCCCTTAGACTACGGGTGTGTAGTCCTTACTTCTAACTCGTTTTCGAATTTTAACATGGCGTTCTTGTTTTCAAGTTTCATATCTTGTTCTTCTTATGTTCATTTTCGGAAACTTTTCTTGAGCAAGCATTATCTTTTTTCCGCACACTTTGCACAAGTCACGGTCTTGACGGAAACAACCACTCTACTCTTTGGGGTAGAAGTCAGATATGCGTATATCTCACCCTCCACAGACCCCACCTCAAGTGGGATATACTAGTTTTGTTTGGTTTTGTTCGGTTTTTAAAAGGAAAAAAGAAACCGAAATTTGGAAGCTAATTATGATCTTACTTGAGTGCTTGAAGAGGCTTTATAGGAAACGCTGCAAACGAATCCTCCAAAGTCGGAATTTCATTAATTTCATCCTGCAATTAAAGAAGTTTTTATCTTACAACATATTCAATTTATGGGTCGTTTACCATACGCTTACTAGGTGTCCCTCACCTTACTGGGTGAGAATCGCAAGGAATGGGAATCTTACCCGGTAAGAGGCACAACAACGACCGAGAATCTTCCAGTAAGCACTTACCGGGTAAAAGACGCTTACCAACAATCCATTTTGATGGCCGATAAGGTAAATGAGGATGGTGACTCTTGCCAGTAAGTGCTTACCCAGTAAGTGTTTGGTAAATGGCAGGCCACAATGGACTCAGATAAAAAATATTCCATATAAAAATGTTCAGGCATCTTAATGATACCTCAATGGACCCGTCATCTGAATTTTCTGCCGGTAATCCAACATAATTGACCCCATTTTGTTGCTTTGAACTTGCATTCAGATCTTTGGTATCTGAATTTTCATCGTAATCCTGGATCTGCTCCCAAAAAAAAGCAGGGTGATAAGGTAGAACACCAAGTGCTTTAAAATCGAAATAAAATATTATTTGAGCAAAAGGTTGATTACCAGCAACCCTAACCTGCCCCACATGGAACCCGTCCATTAGGAACCACATGTGAGGAGGCATTTCAAAGCTGACTCAGCCGCTGAGGCTAGCGGAGGGGTTCAAGCTCGGATTCGAACTTGAACCTGTTGTGTATTTGAGCAAAGACCTCCGCCCCTTTGCCAACTGAGCTACAAGACCAATGACAAAATAAATAAATAAAATATCATTGAAGAATACATACAAGTGCGGCTTGATTCTTCAAGTCCTCCAAATTAAAATTCCAAGCACTTATTCCTCGAATATACTCTTGCTGCAAATTATCAAATATTACCCGATCAATTGATGAAGATGAGAAGTGGAAAAGTAATCAAGTGGATTATGATGCGGAAGTGAAATTTGAGGGAGGAGATGACAATGATTATGGATATGATGATCGAGCTATGCAATTTGATTACAATTTTTAGAAGACGATGGACTTCTTCCAAAATTAAGAATTTAGTTTATGTTTTTTTTTTTGGGTAACCGTGGGGTTCCGTGCCAGCTTACGCGCACCGATTAATCCCACTAGCGACCACGAATTACCTTAAGTCATTGCAACTTGTGAACCTCTATATGGCCACAAGGGTTGTGGCGTAGTGGTTCAGGTCCTGGGGAATGTGGTGGGAAATCCCATCTGCCCAGGGTTAGATTCCGGGTGTACACAACAATTGTGGCCACTGAGTTTATCAGGACTGATTTCTTGCCATTACAATTTGCCGACTGTCCAGGCATAGCATGGGACACCCTTCCAAAAGAAAGTCCCACCCGGAGGTGGTTTTTTATTTAGGGGGAGGGGATCTACACAGACCCGACCTCTACCCGAAAGAGTAGAGCGATTGTTTCCATGAAAACAATATTTTATATATTGAAAAATAACCATTACAGTCATTTCACCTGTGATAAATGTTCTTTACTTCCATTTAATTCACTATTCTGTAGAAGAAGATCAGCTTCTTTTGCCTGAAACAAGAAAATGGTCAAAAGAATTGCAAAATAGATAGACATAACAATACAACGCATAGCATAAACCAAACGAACCCATTATATCCAACTTGAGGTGAGGTGGGGTCTGGGGAAGGTAAGATGTATGCAAACCTGACCTCTACCCTAAGGGTAAAGTGGCATTTCCGTGAAGACCCCCACCTTGTGAAAAGTGTGACAAAGAGAGAGTGAGGAACGATAAAGATTTGAACGATGGTTAAGAGAAAGCAAAACACCTTTAGAATCCTAAAACGGTCGCCTAGGGGGGGAAGACCATCAAGAATGGTGCGTTGAAGATAATCGGTTGTTCGTGCATGTTTAAAGAAAGGATGCTTCATAAGCTTTTCTGATGATGGACGTTTCTTCGGGTCTTTCACTAAGCAAGCAGCAACCATTTCTTTAAAAGACTGCATAGCCACCACAAGTTAGCACGACCATTGGCCCAGTGGTATCCGAGTTAGCGGTAGAGCCCAACCTCCCAAGAGGTCAAAGGGTTCAAATTTCACTAAAGGTGAGAAGGGTGCGAGTATTTGCCATGCATGCATATATATCGGTTAGATTCAGGGAAAAGCCGCAAGAAAAATGAGAAGTTGAGAAACGCCCTAATAACAGTTCATCTGTACCATATGCACATGTGCATATACAGATGAACAGTTTCTAGGGTGTTCCTCAATATTTCATTTTTTGAGGGGTGTTTTCCCTAAACCTCACTATATATATACTTCAAAAAAACGTTAGCATGAAATCCTATATATCGGAATCCTTGTAAAATGACACAAACCTTTGAAAACTTTTTGTCCCTTTCATAATCAAGACCGGGCGGTGCATTTTGCAGCGTCATAAGCAAAACCTGGAGGAAATAAGACAAATATGGGAAGAGTTATGTTGTAACTCCTTAACAGCTCATGCTTTTGTAATTCAGTATTGAAAAAATCACAAAAATAGCCATTTTTGGCTTCAAAATTCACCAAATACCCCATTTTTAAAAATGTATTAAAGAACACCCAAGGAATCCGCAAATTAGCTTGGCAGATTTGCGGATTCTTTATAATTTTTTAACATTTTTGGTGGCATTTCCGCAAACCCTTTGTGGCATTTATGTCAATTAGTGGGGTTTGGAGAGAGGATGTCTCTCCTCTCACCTTTTTTTTCTCCCAAAAATCTGCCAATCTGACACAAACTACAATTTTCGGAGAGTGTGGCTATTTGGTGATAATTTTTAAAATTTCGGCTATATGGTGAATGTTGAAGCCAAAAATGGCTATTTTGGTGATTTTCCCTTTAGTAATTCTATAATTAGAATAAGAAGATCTATCTTAATTACTTTCATCGGTGGATACTTTGAAAACGGTGCATGGCCATGAGCAAGTTCAAGTGCCGTGATTCCAAATGACCAAATATCTGCTCTGTTTACACACAACATAGCTCTTTAACTTATAGATTTATAAGCATAATTAATTAAAAAGATTTAATAGAAAAAATATATAAAGAGTAATATATATATATATATATATATAGAGAGAGAGAGAGAGAGAGAGGAGTTTCAGGGGAAAACTCCAAAAAAATTAAAAACTGAGGAACGCCATCGTAACCATTCATCAGGATAGTATGCATATGTGCATACAAGTAACTGAAGTTGTTTCTTGGGTTTTATGCACGTGTGCATACGAGACGAATTGCTTACAAGTTACTTGTATGCACATGTGTATACCGTCCAAATGAACGGTTACCAGGGTGTTCCTCAGTTTTTCATTTTTTTGCGGCTTTCCCCTAAACCTGATCCTATATATAAATATGTATATGAATCGCCACTTACTTAAAGTCGTATCCATGTAATTGTTGCATGACCTCCGGTGCCATCCTAGAGAAAAACATTATTTAGACATAAATAGTCTTTGAAGTCGCTCATCTAATACAAAAAAAGTTAACGAGAAATAACCATATAACAAAAGGTAAGACGTGAAGCGCTAGAAATGTAACATACCAACACGGAGTTCCCACAAATGTATTTCTAGAACGTTGTCTATCCCCGGTATCAAACATGCATGCTGATACTCCAAAATCCGCTAACTTGATCGAACCATTAGAATCAACTAATATATTCCCTGCCTGAAATAAACTATCCAAGATTAATAATTGTTTCTTCCCTTCGTCCCGAAATAAGTGTCCACATTTCTATATTAGTTCGTGTCAAAATAAGTGTCGATTTTCAAAAGTGTCAACTTTCCAATTTTATCCCTAACTATAAGGAGGACAAATTCATTAGTCCCTCTATTCCTAAGGGTAAAATTGTCATTTATTAATTAAAAAGTGTAACTCCAAAACTGTGTGCCTTTTTAATTGTGGACATTTATTTTGGGACATAAGGAGTAGTAACAAAGCATGTCATTCAAATATAAAAAAGTTATTACTTATGTTGGCGTTTGAATATATAAATCAAAACGTAATGGTTGATAGAAAAGTAAAAGTGAAGGACGACAATAAAACACCATGCTACTTAATATACTCTCCTCGTCAAATGGTTACTATACCAGGTAGGGGCATGTTCATTTAGAAACCTTAAATATTTTAGAAACCCACGAACCACCTATTTCTATTTTGTGAGTACTTGATATGAATTTTATTCATCATGAACATTTGTCACAACATTCATCATGAATATTTATCACATTATTCATCATGAATACTCATAAAAGGGTGGTTCCTGGTTCCTAAAATATTTAAGGTTTCTAAATGAACCTCCCTCATATCGGTTAATCTTCATATAATTACTACAACCTCCGTCCCAAAATAAGTATCCACTTTCAAAAGTAAATGCATACTTTCAAATTTTACCCTTAATTTTGAGATGGAGAAATTTGTTATCCCCTCTATTATCAAGGGTAAAATTGTAATTTAGTTAATTAAAAAGTGTAATAATTACACATTTCTAAAACTTTGCGTCATTTTCATTGTGAACATTTATTTTGGGACGGAGAGGGTATCAATGTGATTTCATGAAAAAAAATTCATATAACACCGTCTAAATTTAGCAAATAAAAACTAATAGATCATTCAAGAAGAATCAAGCAGAGTACGTACCTTCACATCTCTATGAATATGCCCATGAACATGAAGATAGACCAACGCTTTAAGGACTTCTCGTAGCACCGTAGCAATAACGGGCTCTTCAAAACCTTCTTGAAAAGAAGTTTTCATTATGTGAAGACACGATCCCCCGGCCATATATGGCATAACAACCCAAAGGTTGTGGCCTGTTGTGAAAGAACAATATGCCCGTAATAAATTTGGATGATTGATCAAGCTCATGATTTGTACTTCACGACGTATGCCATCCTATTTTAATTGAAATAAGATTTTAGAAACACAAACACGGGATGTAATAATGAAAACATTACAAGAAAATTTACTTTGGGAAATATATCAATTACCAAACCAAGCCCAATATATCCTAACCCTGAGGTAAGATCTAGGGGGTAAGATGTACGCAGACTTGACCACTACCCAAAAGAGTAGCGCCATTGTTTTTGAGTGACTACTTTCGGAATATCTTTTTGACAAAGTTTGTGGTCACAGAAGACTATATAAGGTATTTCCTGAACCTTCAAACTTGCAAAAAAAGTTGATTTATTCATCTATTTGTACCAAAAAGGCAAAAAGTACTCCTTTTGTCCCAAAATAAGTGTGCATAATTCTATCTTAGTGTGTCCCAAAATAAGTGTCCACTTTCAAAAGTAAGTCCCTACTTTCCAATTCTACCCTTAATTATGAAATGAAAAAATTCATTTACTCCCTTTATTATTAAGGGTATAATAGTCATTTAGTTAACTAAAAATATAATAATTACACATTTCCAAAACTGTGTACCTTTTTCATTATAGACATTTATTTTGGGACAAAGGGAGTATATTGCACCCATAATTCTCATTGAAATCCCTAATAAAACCGCGCCCCTCAATCTTTTTAGACAAATAACACTAACGAAATAATTTTACAATCTATATCTCCTTGAAGACCTCTTCAATTACTCCACTAAAGATGTGAAGTAGGAAGGATAAAATATACACGATTATGGCTTCCATCATAGATTCGAATGAAAACCGTAAACATTTTGACAACATGCAAACTAACTATTTCATGAATTATTCATGATGAATAACCCTAAAATATTCATGAATATCATGCATTTTCATTATTCATGATATTCATCGTGAATGATTCATGATATTCATCGTGAATGATTCATGATATTCATCGTGAATAATTCATGAATAGTTGGTTCTCAGGTTCTCTAAATATTCAAGGTTCTCATTTAACCCCGCCCATATGGCATTCATACCCATATACATGCACCACATTATACCTAGAAATTAGTTGGTGACCACTTGAGTATATATAATACCTAACTAAATAGGAATATAACAACGACTGAAATCAATGTGTCCATTCATTTATCGGAAAAGAAACCGACGTACCAGATCATTATTACACTTTTCCAAATCAAGAACCTTGATTGCAACTATCTTGTTCAACGGAACACAAAGAGCCCTGTAAACGGAGGCGCTCACTCCTTCACCAACTTCCTCGTATAGCTTATAATCCTCGGCATTTACGGGAAACTTATGCTTTGGTACTTCCATATTTTCTTCTAAATCGTAAACATAAAACCGTTTTTAACCATAAGATGCCCTGAACACAAAGGCGTTATCCAACTTGATGATCAATTTATTCCAAATTGGTAGCATCGATCATCTATTTGTATATAACTTTATCAATCCATTATTTCATCAAACCATATTCAAGATCCTCCACACATCAAATCCTCAAGAGCTACCACCAAATGACGATTTGTCTATTTATAGCTTTTTTTTATGATACGAAGAGGTAGAGTGTTCTAGCAGATAAATAGACCAAAATGTCCTCAAAGAGAAAAAACTTGATGAACCAGAAATCCTGTAACATCAGAAAGAGAAACAACGTCAAGAATATAAGCAAAAGATACAATGTCAGTAGCATGTATATTATGACACCAATTAAAAAAAATTGCATAAATTTGCCTATAATGTGTTCCGAGGGCCATCTCCGAACCTAGCACCAAAAAGATCATCAAATTTGTGGTGCCATAGACACCAAAAATTGCTTCATCTCAAACCACATCCTGTCTCCGGCAAAATGTCGTTCTTTTTGCCTGTCGGTTGGAGTTTCCATACCAGAAAAAAGGCGTTTTTTAGCGTACGGATGGAGATGCCCTTAGGCAGGGGTCAGAATAGGAAACCGATTTAACAACATATGTTCTACTAAATCACTAGAAAAGGCAAAATTTAATAAGTAATAACGGGTGTTGTTGATATGCATTTCTTTTATGTCAAATTAGGGATTTGAAAACGTAAAAAGTAAAACCTGACGTTGATGTGTGTGAGACATCAAGAATTGTTTTTTACATTTTTGATGTATGATTTGGCCCGATTCTCATGTTAATAGGTGTGCATATAGCAACACCCTAATTCAACCAAGCCTCTACCGACTAGAATGACACCATTTCCAGAAAGTTATTACAAAAAGAACTTGTCTGAAAGCACCATTAAGAATTTATATTAAGATCTCAATCGTAACCTAGGTCCCAATTTCTCAGAAATCTGCATCGTATTCAAGTGCCAATTCTCACAAATCCACAGCAAATGATGCGGGTCTTATAGAATTTGAAACTTATAGCGGAATCTCCTAATTAGAACTTCAAATTATCAAAGCTCCAAGGGATAGACCAACAATGTCGAATGAAACCAAAACAACTTATTGATAGTATCTTCTAGGTTTCCTTTAGTGTCCCCATGCTTCAATCACTTTCCTGAACACATTTCAAGCTACATTTCCTTTGTGATTGACTCAAAACCGCTTTAAACCAATCGACTAATGTCAACATTCACCAGCTGATTCGCACAAATTCCCAATATCCACAAGAACATCAAAATCACTTCAAAAACATGTTCGATTTTCACAAATTGATCCTGATTACAACCAATTAAGTCAAAAACACACAATCACCAATCCAAACAAAAACAAAACAACATTTCACATACTCATATACATCAAATTCCGAGAATGAACTAAAAATAGAATCAAGAAATCGATGAAACGTCGCAGAAATAGCAAGAACACGCAGAGAATCGATAAGAAGTACGGACCTAGGGTTTCGAGCACACAGAAAATGCTGGTTTCGCAGTCGAGAGAGAACTGAATTTTGACCATTAAACTCTTGCAGAAAATGGAAAGAAAATTGAAAAAGGAAAATAGAAAAGAGGAAAACGACGTCGTCAAGAAACCAGATAAGCCTTCGGCTAATCCGCCGTAGGCAAGCAAACAAACGATGTGTAAAAATACTAAAACGAGAATCGTACAAAACAGCTGTCGTATCAAACCTTCACCATAGAATTAAATATTTTTTTTAAATATAATTTTTTTAAATATAAAAAAATTTAATTTTAAATATATAAAATACTAAATTAAACAATTTCATATTTTCTATTAATTAAGGTTATTAATTTTTTTTCCTTAAAATAAGATTCGTTTTGTTAACAGATTTATGAGTTCAATGGACTCATTTAATGATGCAGGATAATTAAGTAATCAAAATGATTAAAATGTCTTTCATGATATAGTACAAAATGAAATATAATTTTTTGGTAATTGTTTACTATGAAATTAGGGGGCATAATGGTTAAGGAAGACTCGGGATACAAAATCATTCAGAGAGTTTTTGGAATCATTCAGAGACAAACTTTTTTTTGCCAAATAAGATTCACCTGTTAACAATTCAGATGTTGACTCTTAATGAAACTATTAAAAAATAAACAAACAACCTCTTTATTTAGTGATCTCCAAACGTGTAATATCTTTATTTTATTTAAATGATTCAAATGTTGCCTCTTAATAGAACTATGTTTACCTCTTAATAGTTTCATTAAGAGGCATCTTCTGAATCGTTAAGAGGTAATATTGTTTGGAAAAAAAAAAATACGTTTCTTAATGATTCTAAAACCCTCTGAATGATTTTGTATTATGGGTCTCTCTTAACCATTAAGTGCCTAATTTTATCGTAAACAATTATATTTCATTTTGAACTATATCATGAGAACCTCTTAATCATTATGATCACTTAATCATTCTGCACTAAACCATTCAGCAACTAACAAACAGCTCCTAATATAGAAAATGACTAATTCAGTAAGTTTTTGTGGAAAAAACTTTATGCAATTAAAAAAATTAATTTATACATACAAATTAATCCAAACAAACATAAAACCAGTTAAAATAGCATCTTATGACTTACATTATTGTTGAGAAAAATGGTGGAATTTTTAATTTTTGAATTTTATAAAAAATAATAATAATAATAATAATGTAAAATAAATTGTTAAAAATAATGCAATTTGTTGGAGTGGCCATGTGGGCTTTGGTATGGTTGGGATAGCAATAGATGTGAAATCCAATTCAAATTTTAATAATTAGATCACATGTCAAATCAATATAATTTTGTTTTTTTATAATATTTTCAATTTATAATAAAAAAATATTCAATTTAAAAAAAAAAACATTACTGTTTTTTAAAGGTTGTTTGGCAGTTGTTGAATAATTTAGTGTTGAAGGATTAAGTGGTCAAAATGATTAAGAAGTTATCATGATACGGTATAAAATGAAATATAATTGTTCGGTAATTGCTTACAATAGAATTAGGTTGATGAATGGTTAAGTGGGGTTCAAGATACAAAATCATTTAGAGGGTTTTTGAACCATTAAGATGTAGACTTTTTTCTTACCAAACAAAATTCACCTCTTAACGATTCAGAGTTGCCTCTTAGTTGAACTATTAAGAGGTAAACAAACAAACTGTAACTTAAAGGGTTGTTTGTTTGCCTCTTAATAGTTTTATTAGTTCAATTAAAATGCAATATTTGAATCGTTAAGAGGTGAATCTAGTTTGACAAAAAAATAAGTTTGCCTCTTAATTGTTCTAAAACTCTCTGAATATTTTTATATCTTAGGTTCCCCTTAACCATTCAGCACCCTAATTTCATTTTGAATAATTATCAAACAATTATATTTCATTTTGCATTATATTATAAAAGTCTCTTAATCATTCTGACTAAGGGGTTGTTTGTTTACCTCTTAATAGTTCCATTGAGAGGCAGTCTCTGAATGGTTAAGAGGCGAATCTTGTTTGGCAAAAAAAAATCTACATCTTAATGGTTCTAAAACTCTCTTAATGATTTTGTATCTTGGGTCTCCCTTAACCATTTAGCGCCCTAGTTTTGTTGTAAATAATTACCAAACAATTATATTTTATTTTGCACTATATCATGATAGTCTCTTAATCATTCCGATCACTTAATCATTCTGCACCAAACCATTCAGCAACTGCCAAACAGCCCCTAATTATCAAACAATTATATTTCATTTTACACTATATTATAAGAGTCTATTAATCATTCTAACTACTTAATCATTCTGCATCAAACCATTCAGCAACCGTCAAACAACTCTTTAGAATCTCATAAAAATCTCTAATGGGTATTCTCTTAGACAATCTCCAACATATTCCTAACATATAAAATTTGAAGATTTTGGTGTAATTTTTACTAATAAATCCCTTAAAATATTTTTTTAAATAAATAAATTATTAAAGATTGTAAATTTCTCTTGATGAAGAAATCTCTAAAAATAATTGTTTAAGTTAACAAAATGATTTTTTATTATTCGAATCAGTAAAAATCTCTGAAATTAAATGCTTAGTCCATACGATACAGATAATATTTTTTTAATATAATTAATATTGTATTTTTTTTAATTGAGAATTTGAGTTGAATGTGATACTTTTGAAGATTTTGATTCCGGGTTCTTTATTTTTTATAACCACAAGGGTGATGCCCGATTGCTTTAAGCTTGAGTTCCAAATGTTAAAAGTGTCTGGAGGTCCCAAATTCGAATCCAATGAAGAATAAAAATCTTTTTGTAACCACGGAAGTTCAAATGCGGTGACTCTGGACTACCCGCGAAACAGTTGGTCGTCCCGAGATTAGTCGATTCGCAAAGCGATTTGGGTATTCAGGTTAATAAAAAAAATACGATTTTTATAAAAAATTATGAATTTTATAAAAACAAAAAAAAAAGATTATAATGATACTCATAAATCATGTTTTACATGATGGATTTTGACCACAACAACCATTTTAAAATAATTATGTATTTTACAACTAATATTTATTATTAAATATAAAACAAA